ACAACCCCTTGAGGTGGATACTTTTGTTACTCCCATTTTACAGATAGGGAAACTGAGGCACAGAGAAATTAAGCAACTTGCCCAAGGTCACGCAGCCCGTAAGTGGCAGAGCTTTGGCACCCTGGCACGTGGATGCACAGCCTGCTCCTTTGCCTTGCCCGCCCAGCTCCCTGGGGGTACCCCCATTCCCCAAGCCGGGCGCCAGCCCTGGCAAGCCCCACGAGCGTTCGCGGCTTTCCGCCTGGCAGCAGAAGGCTCCGGGGGGAGCTCCGCTCACGGACTGCCCCACAGCCCTGGGGTCGCCTTTCCTGAAGAGGCCCGGGACAAAGCTCCTCCGTGCCTCAGTCTCCTCACCTGTAAGAAGAGCTCAGAGCTGGGGCAGAGACGCGGTGATGCGCAGGGGGAGAGGAGGAGACCGCAGAGGAAGACGGAGACTGCGGGGAGGAGAGAGCACCCCACGCTGCCCGCGCCCGCCGGCCCCCAGCAGCCCTGTGGGGACCTCAGGGGCCCACGGAGCCCTCCTCCATCCAGGACGGAGGAGAAGGGGCAGCGGAGTGCGGTCGCTCAGAGACGGCGATGTGGCTTCACACCAGCCGGGGCTGCGACCTCAGCTGCTGTCCTTCTCCCAAGCCTGCCCCTCCAGATCGGAAAAGCCCCTGCCGCCCCCAGCCCTGCCCTCACCCCGCCACAGCTCCCTCGTCCCGCGCCACTCTCAGCCGCCACTGCTCCGCAGCACCCGCCGCCGCCTCTGCACGCAGCGTGCACCCGCGCCTCCCTGCTCACCCCAGATGTCCTGCCCCCGCCTTCCACTCAGCCTGGGCCCCACCCCACCCCAACCCCCGCACGGAGCACCCTTCCGCCACCACTGCTGCCTGCTGCACCTTTTAAGTAGACTCGATAACCAATTTACTCTGTATGGTGCCGTTTTGTGAAATCAAAACCCTACATGGCCACAGTGAGACACCACTTCACACCCTTAGTATGATCACTATAAAAAAAAAACAGACAATAACAAGTGTTGGAGAAATCGGAACCCATATGCATTACTGGTGACAATGACAAATGACTTAGTTGCTATGGAAAATGGTATGCAGGTTCCACGAATTACCATATGATCCATCAATTTTGCGTCTATGTATATATGCAGAAAATTAACAGCAGACACTCAGCAGATGCTCATATGCGCCTGTTCTTAGCAGCATTGTTCACAATAACCAGCAGGTAGACAACACAAATGCTCGCGGATGGATGAATCAGCTTTAAAAATGTGGCACAGACACAGTGGAATATTATTCAGCCTTCTGAAGGAAGAAACTCTGACACGTGCAGCAGCATAGACGAACTGTGAAGACATCATGCTAAGTGAGACAAGCCAGACTCCAGCGGACAAATGCCGCATGAGTCCAATTCCAGGAGGCCCTGAGAGCAGCCGCGATCCTAGAGAAAGAAAGTAGAACGCTGCTGCCAGGAGCCGGCGCGGGGAGGGGAGAGGTTATTTGAGGGGTACAGTTTTAGCTGGGGAAGATGAAAAAGTTCGCGAGATCGATGGTGGTGGCGGTCAAAATAGTAGATTATATGTCATGCATATTCTACCACAATTTGTTTAAGCCCCTACACGCGCGTGCTTGTTTGCACCTATATTGTGGAAAGTTAAAAGGACGCCGTCAGCATTGCCCGGGACAGTCGCCATGGGGGGGGGGGGACATAGAATGGGAGGCAGAAATTCCACTTTTTACTTTATATACCTATGTGCTGTCTTATCAGGAACAAGCATTAAATTTTCAGTAATAATATAAATGAGCATGTATTTTTAAATGGCGACAGCAACACCCACCTCGGAGAGACGATGTGAGGTTAACATTTTCCCTGTAAGAAAAGCATCTACCCGAGCCTGCAAAGGGGCTCCCTCTCAGCAAATATATAAATGTCCTCCCTCCCTTCCTCCCCGCCCTGAGGATCTCTGAGCTGTATGGAACAGCCCGCCAGAGGGCCGAGATTAGAGATGTCCACCTCGCTGTCCACAGCAGCCAGAGATGAGGAAGGGTCACTCCAGGAGGCCCAGGCCAAGCCTGGCCATCCCATCCGCCCATGACCCTGGAGGGCGCTCAGCGTCTCTGCAGTTTAGCAGGGGTCTTTAGCCTTGAGCATCGGAAGAGAACATGATCCTTTCTCAGTGGTCACATTGTTGGGGGCAATAATTGCTGCCTTCTGGATCATTCTTGAAGACCCAGAAAAGCTCTGGAAAGATCATTTCGTCCATCCCTCTGCCCTCTTGCTCCAAATGCCCTTGTGCTCAAACAAACAGGACTCCTTTCACCCTTCCTCCTGAATGCACCATAGCACTTTTCACCTCCTTCAAGTCCTACACAATGTCTAGTCCAAATCTTTCATGCTGTTGCCAAAAAAAAAAAAAAAAAGACTTTGCCTCTGTAAATCAGCAGCCTTTGCCCAGCCAAAAATAAACTTTACAAATTTTCTTCCCTTCAGAACTAGGGCCTGTTGCCCTGCACAGCAAATATCCTCAGTCAACAGTGTGTTAGGGTTCTTTGGAGAAAGAACCAGTAGGGTGCGGGGTGTGTGTGTGTGTGTGTGTGTGTGTGTGTGTGTGTGGAAAGAGAGAGAAAGCAATTTACCATAAGGCATTGGCTCATACCTTGGAGACTGACAGTTGCGACCCTGCAGCGTGGCCGGCAGGCTCAAGGCCCAGAAGAGCCAGAGGTGAGGGGAGGTCCTCAGGCAGGCTGCTGAAGAGTTTTCCTCACACGAGGGAAGTTCAGCCTCTTGTTCCATTCAGGCCTTCAACTGATTGGGTGAGGCCCACCATGTTATGGGGAGCAGTTGGCTTTACTCAGTCCACCAATTCAAATGTTAATCTCATCCAGAAACAGCCTCACAGAGGTACCCAGAGTAATGGTGGACCAATGTCTTGGCACCCTGTAGCCCAGTCAAGTTAACATATAAAATGACCACCACAGCGGGCAGAGCACAGTGGCCAGCTATCTGAGGCAGTGATACTGAGCTCGCTGGGAATGTGACTGGGCCTCAGCCTCACAGGGAGGGTCCCCACCTCTGCCTCTGCGCTCTTAAAGCAAGAGCTGCCCACGTCATGGGCTCAGTCCTAATCTGGGGTTAGCAGAGCCCCCATTCTAGGCATCCCTGTGAGGTCAGCCCTTTCTGGTGAGCCCACACCGACACCCTTTGGGTCCTGTCCCCAGGAACAGGCCTGTTTTTTGTCAGAGTCTATTTCTGAGGTTGTGCAGGGCCCCACCTCCCGCTGTAACTAAACACCCAGTGGTTATGAGCATGGGTTCCAGGGCAAGGGAGTGAGGCCCCAAAACAGCTCTGCCACTTACCTGCTTTGCAACCTTGGGAAAGTTACTTAGCCTCTCTGTGCCCCAGTTTTCTTATCCATAAATTGGCAATAACAATGGCCTCCACCTCAAGGAGTTTTTTGAGGAATCAATAAAATAATATAGACATTGTTCTTACCCATAGAGCCTCATAAATAGTAAGGCCTGAATAAATATTTACTGAGTGAATTATTGTCATTATTATTATTATTATTATTATTGAATTGGCCCTAACACATCAAAATGAATTAATTACTGCAGTTTTCCCAGACAAACTCAGGAGTACACTTCTCCATTGGTCTTCTCCAACACTTTGAGAATAAATACAGGTGATTTTTCTTAGAGAAACCCCAAAGCTATGAAAGAAAAATAATTGTTCTATCATCAAAAATAATTTTGATATAAAAATTAAAACTTTTGCGTGGTATCAAAAACAAAGTTAATTTAGAGAAATAATAGATTTGAGAAAATATTTGCAATACAAAAAATAGGTTAATATTTATAATATACAAATGAGCTGTTACAAATAGAGAAATTATTTTTTAATTTTAAGTTGAGATAAGTGTATGAATAAGCAAGTCACAGAAAAACAAATTCAAAGGGTCAATGAGCATGAAAAGATGTTCAAACTCAAGGCTACGCAAATTGTAATAACAGTAAGATATTATTTTTCATCCATCAGACTGGCAAAAATTTTAAGTCAGTAACAAGAAATTTTAAGTGAGCAAGAAGATGTGGGGAAAACGAGTACTCTTGTTCAAATCTAGGAGAAATGGGAAATATTTCAGGCTTTTTGAAATGCATTCCACCACAGCCATTATAATGTAAAAACACATATATTCTTTGACTTGATACTCTCTCTTTCCTGGAAATGTATCTTATAAAAACAAAAACACTAGTACCTAAGAATATATATGTACTTGTCATGTAATTGTTCACCTGATTTAACAAAAAGATGCTCTTCAAAAGGCAAATGAATGGATAATGTCCATGTTATGCAGCCATTAAAAAGAATCAATTAGGGCTATGCCAGACAGAGAGGAATTTCCTCAAGATACATATGAATAAGAAAAGCAAAAAGCAGAAAAGCATGTATAAAATGATCCAGTTTTGTAAAAGAATTAACCTAAAAACTCCAAGAATTTATCCAGCTATGCAAATATTTCTGTGTGAAATAAAAATTAACAACATAGGCCGGGCATGGTGGCTCACGCCTGTAATCCTAGCTCTCTGGGAGGCCGAGAGGAGTTCAAAACCAGCCTGAGCAAGAGCGAGACCCCGTCTCTACTATAAATAGAAAGAAATTAATTGGCCAACTGATATGTATATAAAAAATTAGCCGGGCATGGTGGCGCATGCCTGTAGTCCCAGCTACTCGGGAGGCTGAGGCAGGAGGATCGCTTGAGCCCAGGAGTTTGAGGTTGCTGTGAGCTAGCCTGACGCCACGGCACTCACTCTAGCCTGGACAACAAAGCGAGACTCTGTCTCAAAAAAAAAAAAAAAAATTAACAACATAAAGCAAAAAAGTATATGCTCTTTTAAATACATACTTACATATATAAAAGTATACAAATGGTCTGTCCAGAATGTTAACCACTAAAATAGTAAAAATCATGGTCTCTAGGCAGTTGGAGAGAGGGAGTAGTTAAATGACCTTTAGCTTTATTCATAAAACTTTATTTCTTTGAGGAAAAAAAACTGAAAACAAATATGAGAAATGGCTGAACAGTGTGAATAAGGATGTTTGCTACATTATTCTTTGAAATAACAAAAAACTGAAGAAAATCTGACTATACATTCATTGTATAATGGGATGTCCAGTTTCCCCATTTGTACAATGGGCATGAACGATTACATTCACAAGTTGTGGAGGCCAAATGAGAGAATACTTGTAGAAAGGCCCGACACTCAGTCAACATCCATCGATCCTGCCTCCCCAGGCACTTGCATAGATGTTTGCAAAGATGCTCTGGTGCCATTTCCAGGTGGGCAGCTGAAACTTTGGTCCAAGCTATGGTAACACATGGGGGACTAGAAGGTTGATCTGAACTTCCAGGAGGACTCTAGAAGGTGAGAGGCAGAGAGAACATCACAAGAAAAAAAATAACTATAGACCAATATCTTTTATGAATGTAGATGCAAAAATCTTCAACAGAAATATGAGAAAATCAAATACAGTGACATGTAAGAAAAATTATACACCGTAACCAAGTGGGATTTATCTCAGGAATGCAAGGTTGGTTTGACATCTGAAAATCAATTAACATAATATATCATATCAACAGAACAAACAACAAAAATCACATGATTATTTCAACTGACACAGAAAAAGCATTTGACAAAATCCAACACTCTTTCGTGATACAAACATTCAAAAAGTTAGGAACAGAAGGAAACTTTCTCAACTTGTTCAAGGGCATCTATAAAAAAACCCCACATCTACCATCATAATTAATGGTGCAACACTGGATGCTTTCCCCTAAGATCAGGAACAAGATAAAAAATTTCCATTTTCAGTGCCTCTATTAAATATTGTTCTAGCCAGGACAATTAGGCATGTAAAAGAAATAAAAGGTATTTATATGGAAAATGAAGAAGTAAAACTATCATTATTCACAGATGACATAATCTTGTACACAGCAAATATTAAGGAAACCACTCTAAAGCTATTAAAATGAATAAATGAGTTCAGCAAGTTATAGGACACAAGATCAATTATATAAAAATCAATAGTGTTGCACTTGCAATGAACAATCTGAAAAATGAAATTTTAAAAACAATTATATTAACAATAGCATCAAAGAGAATAAAATATTTAGGAATAAATTTAACCAAAGAAGTACAAAACTTGTACACTGAAAACTACAAAACATTGTTGAAAAAAATTAAAGAAGATCTAAATAATTAGAAAAACATCCCATGTTCATGGATTGAAAGATTTAACATTGTTAAGCTGGCAATAGTCCCCAAACTAATATACACATTCAACACAACCCCCTTCAGAATTCCAGATGACTTCTTTATAGAAATTAACTAATTGATTCTAAAATTCATGCAGAATTGCAAGGGACCACATACAGTCAAAACAATCTTGGAAAAAAGCAAAAAACAAAGTAAGAGGACTCACACATCCCAACTTCAAAACCCACTACAATCAACACTAATCAAAACAGGGTGATATTGGTACAAGAACAGACATATAAATCCATGGAATAGAATTGAGAACCCAGAAATAAACCTACACATCTATGGTCAACTTATTTTTAACAAGGATGCCAAGACCATCCAATGGGGAAAGAATAGTCTTTCCAACACACGGTGCTGGGACAGCTGGATAGCCATGTGCAGAAGAATGGTGCAAAACCCTTACCTCACACCATATATAAAAATTAACCTAGAATGGATTGAAGACCTCAATGTAAGAGCTAAAACCATAAAACTCTTAGAAGGAACCCTCGGGGTAAATCTTCAGGGCCCTGGATTTGGCGATCCGGCCCTTCCACTGTGAAGGAAGGCACTCTGATGTGTGTGCTCTGCCACCGGACACGCAGTGCTCAGAGGAGGGAGTGTTGGGTTCCCAACATTTGTTCGGCTAAATGCATTGGTTGAATGAATGAAGGACCTCGCTAGCTGACCCCAAGGGGAAATAAAGCCAAGACAGACACACACGCACGCACCCCATCTCTGCTGCGGACTGAACAAGGCCCTGCTGAAAATCCCTTTTTCCCTTCATCCTCCCTCCCAGCTCCCTTCCACAGACGTCGCCAGGCAAGCCCCAGAGTGGGTGCCCCTCTCCTGAAAGCCCTCTCCTATCAGTCAATGATTCACTCAACAGTCAACGATTGGCACCTGCTCTAGGCCAGGCCCTGAGCTGGTTGCTGGTGACACAGCAGGATGGACGTGGACCCTGAGCTTAGAGCACCACCGCTGTGCAGGGCCACAGCCGCGAGCCCTGGCTTTCCCTCCATGGTGCACGCTCTGCTCTGAACGTTCGGGGCACCACACACGACCTTCTACTGCAGTAAGGGGTGGAGATCAATGAAGTGACCCAGGAGCCATTTGGGGCACGAAGAGGCCTCGTGCGGCACCCAGCGAGGACGGAGCAGAGCACATGCACCTGTGCTAACTGCTCGCCACTCATTTGTCTGTGGAAAGATAAATAGCTTGTTTCTCCATGAGTAAGAATCCCAAGGAAAAAGCCAACTGCTCATGCTGGTGGTGGGAACAAAGAGATTGCGAAGCAGTTTAAGCAAGCAAAAAAAAGGGGGAAATTGAAAGGCCAACGTCGTGTTCATCTGGGCGCAAAGTGACGTCGAGCTCACCATCGCGCCAGATGGAACAAGGCACGGCAAGTCCCGGTGTTCGGGTGAAGGGCTCCACGGATGAGAAGGGGGCTCAGCGAACGAGGAAGGCTGCGGCCAGGCGATGTGATGCACTAGAAAGTCGCACTCGAATTGGGGAATCTGAGAGTGCCTGTTTTGTCTTACGATCCGTCCTTCCTGAAGCAGCAAAGCATTGGAAATAGTCAAATGTCCGAAAAGTCAGAGCTCCCCTAAGCCATCAGAGGTTCATCCAGCCCACGGAATACACACAGCCTCTCACACAAATGTCTCAGGCATTCAGTAGAAATGTGTCCTCCTGATAGTATTCTAAGTGGAGAAAAAAACAGGATACAAAATGCTATCTGGCTGAAAGCACAACTCCAAAACCATACATACATTCATGAACGCCGACGAGAGAGCATGGGCAAGTCCTTAAGTTTAGAGGCACAGCAAATGACTTTTTTTTTTTGCCTTTTATTTTTATGGTGGTTGTTACAGTATTGTTTGTGCAATTAAAAACGCTGAAATCAAAGCCAAGCCATTTAAGAACGGCTATAACTCAGATTTCTCCAGTGATATTTAAACGATCACTTACTGAGCACTGAGCACCAGGTCTGTGCCTGGCCCTGAGCGAGGAGGACTCTCGGATCCCAGAGACAAAAAGACACAAAGCCTGTGCTTGAGGAACTCATAGCCGGGGACAAGAAGAGGGAGGTGAGTCCTAAATGGATCATCGCAACAGAGAGAAAGGCGCCCAGCAAAACGCACACAGAAGTGAGCATGGCGCCACTGCCAACAACGGCGCTGAGGACGTCCAGGGCGCCCCTGGCGCTGGGCGGGGCAGGATGACCGGGCTGTGCTGCAACCACAGCCGACCCACGATCTCACAGCTTCACCCAGCCAGGTTCACTTCCTGCTCGTGCTGCTGTTCGCTGCAGGTTGGCAGGCGGGGAAGAGTGGGAGGAAACTGCCTAGCACGGCTCCTCAAGGGCTGGGGCAAGTGCAGCAGCCACTACCGCAAAGGCTGCTTGTCGCTGGACCAGAAAGAGAGAGCTCCCGGGAGTCTGACACCGCGGATAAATAATCCGGCCCAGGCTTCCTCCCTCCTTCCTTTTTCCTCCTCTCTGCCTTCTCCTTCCTGCTTTTCCGTTTCTGCCCCTCCCTCCTTCCCTTCTTCCTTCCTTCCAATTTTACTTTTAAAAAAAGGAAAAGAAAAGAAAAATAATAATAATAATCTGGCCTAGGAGGTGATGCCCATGATTTCTGCAAATAACTCACTGGCCAGGGCCAGGCCTATGCACCCAGCCTCAAGAGGGCGGGAAGCCGATGCTGCCACGCTTGTATTTAGACTGCATCAGTGACTGTCATAAACACGCACTGTGTCAGGCTCTACACAAATGCGTAAGTTAGCTTATTCAATTCGGAGCAGAACATTAAGAGGCCAGGACTATTATCCCCGTCGTACCGGGGAAAGCGAGGTCCCAGGTACCCGGCGTTATGTAAGGTGCCCAGGTCACCGATACGCACCGGAGCTGGAATCTGAGCCCGGCCTCGGCTCCAGAGCGCCCCGCGCGCAGCTCTCTGCGGGCGGCTTCGAGGAGGCCTCTCGGTCTCGGGCAGGACAGGGACCAGGAGAGGAGTGTGGGGCCGGCGGTCACGGGCTTCCAGGGCCAGGACACTGCCCGCTCTCACAGGATGTCATGGATCCGGCATCTCTGCCCAAAGTGCACAACCTGGATGTGCCCGAGGGAACAATCCGACAAACCCGCACGGAGCGACGCCCTACGGAGCAGCTGCGCCACAAACTGCGCACCACAGCTGCGCACGGCAGCGGGCGGGGCCGAGGCGTCCCCGGCTAAAAGAAACCCACAGAGACATGGCGTGTGAGTGCCACCCTCAGTTCTCAGCTGGATACTTTGTTTTGGGGGGATGCTTTAAAGGCCTTTACAGAGATAATTGGCAATATTTGAGCACGGACACTGCATTAGGTGACGGTGTTACGTCAGTGTGAGCTGTCCTAAATTGGTCGTTACACCATGACATGTAAGGGAAAGGGCTGGTTCTTAGACACTGTCTGAAGCGCGTAGGCGTGACGGTCACGTATCCGTACTTCCTCTCAAAGGAGGCAGCAGATATCATCACAATAGCACATACCTATGGAGAGAAAAAATGAGACAAAATGCTAATAATTAGCGAATCTAGGTGATGGTAGACAGGCATTCATTGTACTAAGTTGCAACTTCATACACACTTGAAATTTTCCCAGAAAGGTATTTTTAAATAAAAACTGTCATCAGCCTTCTGTCCTCATGCTGTGTGTGTCCAGCCGGTGACACGGGCAGTCCTCACCACCGGCCTCTCCTGGGGGTCTGGCTCATCCTGTCCAGATTGGCCTGAGAGGGTGCTCAGAGCTGTGGCTACGTAGCTCTGACTTTGTCACTTGTCCCAGCCTCTCCTCCCTCTGCGACACAGCTCTGAGCACAGGCTGTCCAGCCTGCCTCCTCCCCCCCGTTCTCACCAGTCGTTTCAAAGCTGGGGCTGTCTTTCCCCACTGGAGTCTTGACGGGAGAGACTGGAGCCCCTGCCTCAGCAACCCACCCACCCCGTCCTTGCTGGCAGACACCACACCTTCCTCTAGGTGACCGAATTCCCAGCCCCTCCCTCTGCCCAGAGGACCCCAGGACAAGCAGGACAGGGCAGCAGCACACAGTCCATGCTCCCCTTGGACCTGATTTCTTACACAACCAGGTGTGGGGTCAGAGCCAGTCTCCCTCCACTGCTCTGGCCCCTTCTCTGCCCACACAGCCCGCCGGGGTCAGGGATGGCTCTCGGCGTGGATGCGCAAGTGTGTGGCCTCCGCTCAAGTGCAAGCCACTGTCCAGTCGAGTATGATGCCGAGGGCTCTGCTGATCTCACCTGGGCTCCCTCCGACCTCAGCGAGGGCACCTTTGCTGACTCCTCCCTGCTCCACGTGGTCTCTCAGCCCCCAGCAAGCTAGCCCAGGCTCGCTCTCACTGCGGACACAAAACTCAGGAAGGAGAGAGCTCATCGCTGGCGCACATCACTTCTACCATATTCTGTTGGCCACAGCAGCCCACAAGTTCGAGAGATGGAGAAATAAACAGATTCCACACGTAATGGGAAGAGCTGCAAAGTCACACTGCCCTGGGGACCAGGAGGGATGGGGGACTAGGGCCAATTTTGCAATTAATCTACAAAAACTCTGTGTGCCCATGAGTCTGCTCCTTTGCGTATGCCTGAACATGCGGGTTTGTGGGAGGTTCATGAGCATGAGAAATAAAAACCTCTGCTTTTACCACGTGGGGGGCTCCCCACATTCAAGGATTGTCAATGGTGGGCTCTCCTGTCCCCCTAAACATCTCTAAGAGGAAAACCACCATCGTTAGAAGCACCACCAGCTAGAAATTCCTTGCAAAATCCCTGCCCAGACCCAATGCTTAGCACATTTGCAGAATGAATTAACTTCTAGTAACTCTGCAAGTGGCATTGGCTACATAATTTGTGGGTCCCAGTGCAAAATGAAAATGCAGAGTCTTTTATTCCAAAATTGTTAAAAATTTCAAGACAACAGTCAAGAGAATAAGAAGTCAAGCCACTGACTGGGAGAAAATATTTGCAAAAGATACTCTGGTAAAAGACTCTTCTCCAAAATACACAAAAGACTCTTAAAACTCAACAATAAGAAATGAACAATTCAATTTAAAAATGGGCCAAAGACCTTAACAGACACCTCACCAAAGAAGATACAGGGATCACAGATAAGCGTATGACAAGTTGCTCCACATCACATGTCATCAGGGAAATGCAAATTAAAGCAACAATGAGATGCCACTACACGCCTATTCAAATGGCCAAAATCCAGAACAGCGACAACACCCAACGCTGGTGAGGACGGGCATTCCCGGCCCCTCGTTCACTGCTGGGGATGCAACTGGCACAGCACTTTGGGGACAGGCGGTCTCTTTCGGAACTGCGCATACTCTAACCACATCATGCAGCCTTCGCACGAAGTGGTGTTTGCACAAAGGGGTTGAAAACTTACGTCCACACAAAAACCTGCACACAGGTGTTTACGGCAGCTTTATTCATAATTGCCAAAATTCATAATCAACCAAGACGTCTTTCTGTAGGCGAATAGACAAACTGTGGCACATCCACACCATGAAATATTACTCAGAACTGGAAAGAAATGAGCTACCAAACCATGAAAAGACGCGGAGGACTCGTGAACGCACATGTCTAAGTGAAAGAAGCCAGTCTGAAAAGACGGCATACTACGTGAGTCCAACTATAGGAAATTCTGGAAACAGCGAAACTATGGAGACAGTGAGGAGATCGGGGTGCCAGGCGGAGCACGGAGGATCCTTAGGGCAGTGAAACGACCCAGTTGGATGCGTGTCACTATACGTTTGTCCAAACCCACAGAACGCACACCCCCAGAGCGAAGCGTGAAGGGAACCGTGGACTTCGTGACGACGGTGTGTCGGTGCAGGCCATGAGCTGGGCCCAGCGCGCCCCGGAGTGGGCGTCGCTAACGGGGAGGCCGCCATGCTCTGGGGCAGAGGGCGTCGGGAAACTGCTGCGCTTTCTGCTCAATGTTGCTGTGAAGCGAAGACTGCTCCACAAATACAGCCCAGCACATCGCCAGACGGCTGCGGCGAGGCATTGAATGAGCGCGGGGCCTGCTGGGTGTGGGGCTGGTGGGCAGGGCCAGCCCGCCGGGCAGCGGGGCCACCACACAGTCACTGCCGGCCACTTTCACTCATTCTTCATTCAGTGCAGATTTGTTGAGTGTCTCCCACACCCCAGGGACTGTTCTCGGTGTGGGGGACACAGCCGTGAAGAGACAAGTCCCTGCCCTCGTGGCGCTTACCTTCCAGGGGGAAGAGAACAGTAAACAAGACAGAGCAGCGTGCCCCGTGCCGGACGGTGAGCGGGGCTAGAAGGAGGAAGAAAGCAGGGGAGACACAAAGTGGGGGGCGGGCTCGGAGGGGTGGGTAAGGGGGTGGAACAGTCTCTAGGGTGTAGAAGGGAAGCTTCGCCACTGAGAGCTGGGAGGGGAGAGAGAATCCGGAACAAAAGCAGTGCAAAGGCCCTGAGGCAGGAGCATGGCTGGAGCCCGCGGCAACAGGAGGGGAGAGAACGGGAGGTGAGGTCAGGGAGGGAGGGGGCCAGACCGGTCACACGGGGCCTTGAGCAAGGCATTTGGTTTTTACTCCAAAGAAGGAAGAGGCAGTCAGGGAAGGGTTTTGAGCAGAAATGTGACCTGGCCTGACTTAGTTTCGAAAGGATCATCCTGGCTGCTGAGAGGAGGGTAGGTGGGGTGGGGGGAGACGGGGCAGACACAGGGAGCCCAGTTGGGAGACGCGGGCTTCCCACCCCTCGGTGCAGGCCATCGGCCCAGCAGTGTCACCCGGGGCTTTTGCAGCCAGTTCTCAGGCGGCAGGAGGCGCTGGGAATTATTAATCACATGCCTGGGAGCAGCCCTCAGCCGGGAAGAAGTGGAGTTGAAGACTAGAGACCCGGCTCCTCACTCTGGTGAGGAAGTGACCCCGAAGGTGCCCGCAGCGCCCCCAGGCTCCCCGGCAGGACGGCAGGGCGGTTGCCCCGGGCTGCCACCTGCCTGGTATCTCGCCCTTCATGGCCTCCTCCTCCCTTCCATGGTTCCCTGGATCCCTCCCGGAGAAACCTCTTGCCCTCGGGCCTTTGATCCAAGCATGTGCTTTGGGAGAACTTCAGTCAGGAGGGGAGCATGGCTGTCCTCTAGGCCAACTGAAGGCAGTGAGAAGGGTGAGGTTCCACAGAACCTGGAGTCTGCTAGCTCCAGGCACCTGACTTCACCCCTGCAGGTGTGTCTTGGCCTCAGTGAACAGGTGCCCCGGCCTGAGGGGTTCAGCCTCCGGGACACCAAGAGGCAGGACTGTGGCCCGACCACAGGCCCCGGGGGCCCGGCTGCCGGCCGCGTCCCGCAGGGCGGAGGGGCTGAGACTTCGGAGTTAATGAGGTCCGGGCAGAAGCACAGCACTCTGAAAATGACAAACGAACAGCATTGCAGCCCGTTCCCACAATTACTATCAGTTGGCTGTAATATAAATATGCAAATTCCCTGGGCTTGAACTTTAACACCCTCTGTAGAGACCATTCATCTCTTTAAAGTATTAATTTAAGTTGTAAAAGGGCCCATACATCACGGCGTGTCATTTTGAAAACAAATATTAATCAATTTTACCCTCGGAATTGCGGTGCGGAGGCGGCGGGCGGCGGGCGGCGGCTGGCGGGAGATTTCCATGTCCAGCCGAGCGTAGGGGCGGCGCGATAGCGCGCGCTGCAGGCCTTATCTGCGCCCGCGCCCGCCGCGCCGTGCCCAGGCACCGCCATGCAAATGCGCCGCTATCTGGATAACCTTGAAGCCGGGACAGTAGGCCCAGGCCGCCTCCTACCTTCTCTTGTCCCAGAAATTATGGAGTTTGGAAAAGGCTGGGCTCGCGCTCCCCGGACGGAAGGAACAGCTCCGGCCTTGGGGATCCTGAGCAGGACGGGCGATCGGTCACTGGGCCACGTCTTCTTTCCCACCAGCCTTAAGGACCAGGCCACTAGCGGGGAGGGCCGGGACGGAGGGCCCCAGGCTTCGCGAGTGCGGGCCCAGAGGGGGTGGTCGCCTCGGCGGGACGGAAGAGGGCTTTGGAGTCTTACGGCCTGGGTTCCAAAACTGACTCTGCACATACACGCTGCGTACGTCTGTGTGGATTGATTTAGCTCCTCTGAGCCTCAGCTATAGGAACGGGGAAAAGGACCTAGATATTAAAGATATCAACTCACAGACGCACTGTCAGGTTTAGAAATTATGAAAGGCACGGGCACCGAAATGGGTATGTAGTTGGTGCTGGAATTACATCGTCAACAATTATCACTATCCTCTGCTTTCTTCTGAGGTGACCCTTCTCGACTCCTCACCTGTCCCTCCTTTTATCCCTCCAAAGTGGGTTTGAGGGACAGAGCCCCCTGTCCCCGAGCTGCCAGTTGCCACCGTTCAAGTCTAACGGAATCTGCTGCCCCCCGCCCAACTGAAAATCAGCCATTTCTTCACTTCTTTACGACTAGGCCTCCCTGAAGTCCCTGGAATGAAATGCAAGTCCAGGTGAAAGGTTGACAGCCCCATTCCACAAGGCTCTGGCCACCCCCGACTTCCCCCAGGGTGGCAACACCACCCCTATCTTGAGCCCCTCCCAGAGCCATCCATGGCGGCCCGCACACATCCGATGGCACTCGCTGCATCCTATGCACGGGCGTGTGCTTGTGCACAGGACACTCGCCGTGGGGCTAATTGCCACCTCGCAGCCCAGAAAACCCCGGCTGCCTTCGCTGGCCCACCTGCAAGGTTGGGACAGTCTTCCCTGGTGGGCTCTACGCGTGGAACTGCGCACAGCCGAAGGGTTCTCCTGAAAACGGCCATGCCGGCCGGCGAACATCGTCCACCACCCCCGGTAACGCCGCATATCCGCCAACGGCAAACGTCCGCTGGGGCAGCCACAGATCCTGGCTCAGGTGAGGAACAGAAATAGCTCCCCATCCTTCTCCCTCGTGTTCGGGTGAGGGAAACTCATATCATCACTTCTAACCCCGAGACCAGCGTCACTCAGGGATACAACAGCGAAACCCCCACCCTGCAGCCGTATCTGAACAACGTGGAGTATGTACACATATGCATGTCAAACCACATGTAAGCATGTGCACATGTATAGATTGAACCATATGTAAGTGTCTGCATTGCCCATGTGTTTGAGCCACATGCAAGCATTTACGTGTGTATATGGAACCACATGTATGTATGTGCACTACACATGTGTATATACATCACATTACATGTAAGTGTGTGTATACATCCATGTTGGTTCACATAGATGCATGTGCATGTATATGTTGAATCACACATAAGTGTATGCACGTTATGCTAGTCTATGACAGTGCGTGCAAAAATGACATCCAGAGATAACGACAGGAAATAATTGAACACAGTGGCCATTAAAAAAAGAAAGAAAGAAATCCTTGTTCAAAGCACCCTATATTTAGATTTTTAATTCACCAAACATTCATCCCACAAAGGTTTATTAAGGACCTAGTAAGTTTCAGATAGATATCCAGTGAGGAGGCCAAAGGGCTGAGTTTCGGGGAGAGGAGCAGGCAGCTGGAGTTTTCACACAGTTCAGCAAACCTGCGACAGAGGTTCAGGCTATGAAAGAGGTGTGCTGTGGTAAATCCAGGAAATCCCAAACCAAGTCCTTCACTTCTGCCCTACACGTTAGTAATTAGCATGGCTATTCCCTGCTACTTAAGGAAAACCCACAGTACTGAAGGACGGGGGAACATAGAGGTGGAAAGTTCCAGAAAACAGGTACATTATTTTTAAGTGCATAGGGTTTTTTCCTAAGTGGAACATTGTAATAAGTTGGCCTTATTAGAGGTAATAAGATGGCCAGGAAACCCATCTTCGGACACAAGCCATGCTTCCCACAAGGCCAGGGTACCCTGTCGGCTGATTTCTAAGTTCCTAGAAACCAGTTACCTGATCGTCTGAACAGCAAGGACAGTGACCTTGGCAAGTTACTTATTGTGCTTGCATTTCCTCACCTGTGAGACAGGGTAACGTCAGAGCCTGTCCTCCAGCAGGGCTGTGAGGGTGGGACCTGTCCAGACAGTGCCGGTACTTGATAAGCACTCAGTATGCTAGTTATCATTAACCATCATCCTCACGACTGTCATTAATCATCCCCAGTAGACATTGCATTTTATTAACTCAGTGTTTTTCTTTAACTCAGTGCCAGCCTAACAATTAAACTAGTTGACATAAAAAATTCAGAAACTGTTTTTCTTTAAAAATACGAACCTCTGGGCCCCCCAGGCCCGCATTAGCCCCGAGCAACATGCTGCTGGCCCTACAGGCAGAGCGGTGCGTGCCGAGGGCCACAGTCCCTACCCAGCCCACCCGTCCGTCTCTGCTGCTGCCTGGCCCAGGCGTGAACCTGAGTGTGAGAACCTTGACGTTCTGCTGGCGCCTCTCGGTGGACGGATGGGAAGAGGGAGAGGTCACGAGAAGACAGAAGGTGCTGCCCGAGCCGGGCCCCACGAGCCGGGTGCCCCCTGGCGCAGAACTCTTTCCAAACTCCCATGCTCAATTCCTTTGGTCCGTAAGACCAGAGGGAGGCCGAAGTCTCAGCTGTAATTTTTCAAAGCTCCAAGAGACAGACCCCCTTACTCAGGATAATGGGATGTCCAAAGATGGATGGGCGCGACAGTGCTCAGCGGGCCGGGCTGTGTCGGAGTGTGTGGCGTGTCTGGGCGTTCACACCTCAGCCCCTCTTACACGTCCTTCTACATTTAGCGTATTACGGATATTAGGGCAAAGTAGATCTATTAGACGATTACCTAAGGGAACTCAGCTGCTGCCATAAAGCCAATGAAGTTATGAGAGCGGGCCCGGGAGGAGTGGGGGCTCAGTACAACCTGCCAAGGCTGCCGACAAACGATGATAAAGTGACCGCTGGAGCCAGCGCTCGATGGAAATTGACAAGGTGAGCCTCCCCACCTAATGAACAGACCCACCCCTGCTCTCAGTGAAACGCACGGCAAGTTTAATCTCAAGAAGCATCAAAATAAATCCACTCCCACGTTTAGAAAGACACGTGGGCAGGAGCGCGGCCTTCGTGGAAGGGACGCGGGGTGGGGTGTGGGGTGTGGGGTGGCAGCAGGCGTGCTAGGGGCTTGCCCATCTATGGCATCCCGATGCACCTGCCTAAAAACACCTCCCCCACCCTCCCCGCCTGGTCCCAGAGCAGAAACTGAGGCTCAGATGGCGCCTACGTCAGAGACCCGAGCCTCGGAGAGCGGTTGTCTCTGTGACTCCCGGTAAACTGCGCAGTCTGGGCTCTTGTGAAGTAATGTCAGTTGCAGAACAATGCGAGCCTGCCAGGCAAGACACATTAGAGGAACAAGGCGGGTGGCGTGGGACGGGGGAGACACCCCCACCGCCACCACTCGGAATACAATGCACCAGCTGCACATTAATAAATATGTAATGTTTGATTAGAAATATGTATAGTATTTTTCCCTCCCCAAATGCCGCTCACCCTCCGGCGGAAGACGGGCTCTGGCCCACACTGACGGGTTTCTTTCTTGCTTGCTTTGAAAATACGAACTCAAATGTTTTCCTGTCCCAGCTGTTTCCCCATTGTTGCTGTTTATCAGCTCGGAGGACGAACAGTGGGATAAAAACCACGCTTGCATTTCAAATGTGCCAGTCAGTCACTCCATTGTTCCGAGAAGAAAGCTTAATTGTCTGTGCTGGCAAACTTCTTTTTGGGGAATGTCCAGGTTTTAAGAAAAGCTATTCAGCTGTGCAATTTGTTTAATACATGCAGAGAAAAGCATATAAAATCACACGTTTTTCTGGGGAAAAAATTAAATAAGGGGAAAAGAGGAATTTGGGAAAAGAGCGAGTGACACGCTGAAGTTCTCCAACTTGCCCCCACCAGGCGCAGGTTTCTGCACCCTTTGCTGAAGCCTCAGCTTTCTCTTGGGACACTCTGGAGGGTCCCACCCAGTGGCTGGGCTTGGTGCAGACAGACGGCCACCGGCTCCGAGGTGACCGCGCAGGTGACACAAACTGTGGCTCACGCCGGCCAGGGCTCTGCCTTCCCTGCCGATCCCTCCGCCTTCTGTTCCAGCAGCCCCTGCTTTCTAGGAGCGAGGAACAGACGCAGCCAGCGGCGCTTGGGGACATATCTGAAGGTTTATTCTGGAGCCCTCTCCGGATTTCAGACTCGGGCGAGAAGAGTTCCTATGGATGAGGCTGGCTGTGCCGGAGCAGGAGGGGCACCGTCACTGCACCTCGCCTGCCGAGCAGGCGTGCGGGCAGGTCTGGGCACCCCCAGACACCCACCTAACTTTGGGGTGAGGGGCGTCTGTGGCTGCCCGGTCTCGGGCACCGCACCCCCACGGCCAAACGCCACAAATGCGCTGTACAAGGCGCGCGGGCCTCCGCCTGGGCTTGCGTGTTCTGGGCTTACCTTGCAAGGCACCTGGCCACAAGAGCGCTCCGTGTCGCAGCCGGGTACCTGGGGACAGGAGAGTGGCTTCCAGTATGGGCAGGAAGACGGTCGGCGCCCGCCACACCCAGCTGCCTAAGAAACTGCCCTCAAGATGTGGATGGCGGTGTCACGTCCTGACTGTGAGCCAAGGACGACGAGCCTCAGCCATGCTGCAGCTGAGGGACGCCAAGGCGCGGGGAAGGCCCGAAGGGCAGGGGAATAAGAGGCAGCTCCACAATTCAGTCAGGGGGGCAGCGTCACCCATCCCCACTGCTCTCTCTCGGGGTTCACCTCAGCAATGTTTTTCTGTGACTAGAAAGAGACAGCACGGGCGTGAGGATCCCAGCCCGGCTCATAACGATGTCCCCCAAGCGTGGCGACGTTCTCCTGCTGCCATGCCTCAGTGTCCATCCCAGTGGATGACTCGCAGCCACCCCCTGAGGTTGACGTCACCGTCACGCCCATCCAGGAGAGGGGGCTCGTCTCCCAGCCCCCCACGGCTGCCAAGCGCGCTGTGCAGAGAAAATCCCAGCTGGGAAGGGTTAAGCGGACCCATTGCCCACTCTAAACCAGCACCTCCCGGGAGAGACTCAGGCCTGGCCAGGGCCGGCCTCTGTAGGTGGGACGTCTGATCGGAGGGGCCCTGGGGGTCCCCAATCTCTGTCACACTCTCCACCGTGATTATCTCAAACATGTTTTTCTTTATGGAAACCCTTGATTCTTCTCTTCCTCTCTCTCCCTCTCCCGGTGACAACCTCAAGTTGTCACCCCATCTCACAGAGAACATACAAGGGACAAATACTGGCAGGAGCACAGTCCATTTCCTGTCACCACGCGTGGGGGCGCACGACACGGTGCCTGTTCCTGGCCCGTCCTGCCTGTGTGGAGCCACCTCACTGCCACCTTCGAGCCCAGGCCGCGCTCCCTAAGGGACAGCACTGTGTCACTTATCTCCTCTGTTCCGTGCCTTCAACTTCCCTCCCCCTGCTGGCCACTGCGTCACCATGGAAACTTCCGAGGGCTCTCCTGACCTAGGAAAAATGGGCACGCAACATGATAGACTCAGGAGGGCAACCTGGGCACACCACCCACCTGTCCTCCCTCCCCGATCCCTGGAAGGAAAGCTCTCTTTAAAAGACAAACAGTGAATCCATAGCCATGCTGGCAGAACTTGTCCACAGTCCCTGGAAGATGGAAAGCAGATGGAGTCGGGCTGGCGGGATCAAGGACCCACAACCAAACCACGGCAGCCAGAGCTGCTGCGGAGCGAGAGACGACCCCACGTAACCCTGTGTTAGCAGCAAACACACGCAAAGGGCAGGGGGTGGAGCGTTCGGCGGGGAAATCAGTAAAATGACTGTTCAGAACCGATTTTCATTGGAACCATTGGCGATGACACCTGCCCTTGTGTCCAAATGGGAGGCTGCAGCAGCACTTGACCGGTCACAACCCAAGGATTGC